GTGATGGTGTTAAGCAAGCAGTGCCCCAAAACCCTTGGCAAGCTGACGTATATCAACAACCAGAAGAAGTTAGACCTAGTGAAATGGAAGTATCAACTCCATAATCACAACCAAGGAGGTCAACAAGAATTCGGAAACCAAATCCTAAATACGCCAACGTAGCCATAGAAGAAGAAATAGTTGAACCTGAGTGGCTCAAAGTTGGGAGAAGAGGTCACTGCAACGGAGCTAAATCAAGCTTGGAATCTAATGCCAAAGCGAAGAGTTGTGAAGCCCATATCATGAAAATGGGTGGGCATGAAAAAGCTTCGTCGTCAACTTAGCATGAAGGAAGGAATGAGCTGGTGTTGAGGGGGAGTGTTGAAGATCAACACCAGCCTAATTGGTGTTTGGATGCTAGACAACTCTAGCAAAATACTATGTCGGTGGTACTAGCTAGAAGGTTCTGGAGATTCAAATGTGCATGGGAGGTGGTTGGTGCATGCAAATGTGCTAGACGTTTCTAGCCATGATTAATTATGTTTGTTTGTAATTAGAATGTACTAGAAACTAGGAAAACATAAGGCCAATTAGGAAAGCATGTCGGTGGCAATGCATGATCATTAGCTAGAAAGATCTAGCTACTTGTACAATTGTGTGGCTGCCATACAAAGCCTAATGGCGGTGGGCAATTGTAGTCGGTCAACACCACCTATACATAGGGGTGTGTGTGTGTGTGTGTGTATTGTAAGTAACCGACCAAGAAATCAAGAAGTAGAAGTAGGCAACCAAGTAAGCCTGTAATCAAGCAAGCAAGCAATCAAGTAAGAGTGAGAAGCAAGAATAGTCTTGTAGTAGTGTGAGTGATTTAGAATGTATCTCTAGAAAGTAAGTGAGTGTCATTGCTTCTAAGAGTGTCCTTTGAGAGTGTTGTAATATTTTGTTTGTGTAATACAAGTAATTTGTTTACTTGTATTGTTTCTTCAACACTTGTGTTAGAGTTGTGTACTCTAAGTTTTTTCCCCAACACGGAGACGTTTGTTTCTACAGACCGCGGCTTTTAAGCCTAATGAAAGCATCCTTCTGTGGATTTCTGAGCTTGCCACAATTGTTATCTCAGATTCTTTTCTATTTTTTTCCCCTACCCTTTTGAGGCATCGCATATTTTACTTTAGCTAATCTGAGAGGCAGTGTGGTGTTGCAGGCTGGCGATTCCAGGTGGGAAAGATCCACGGCAAGAAAGTAGTCTATGTTCGATGTGGAGTTGGAATAGTGACCATGCTTACTGTCCCCTAATGCACCAAAAAGTTAGCAATGTTCAATTTGTCAATTAAACACCGACTGCTTAATTTATGGCACCGATTCACGCTAAATTTTTTTCTTCTGTATTATTGTGTTAAATCATGTTAGGACTTAGTTTAAGTTTCACACACGGCCCTTCGAAATCTCATGGCTAGACCTGTTCAGGGATGGGAACTATAGTTTTCAGAATACATAACACACCACTTAGTATTATGGTCTAATGGTATTCCTCTTCGTTTGTAAGTGAGAGATCTTAAGTTCGATTCTCGCCAAAGGCAAAGTTAAACCACATTATTAATGCAAGCCCATTGTAAGGCTTCCCACTCCCCCACCCCCGTCTAGATACTATCGTTTGTTCAAAAAAAAAAAAAAAAAAAAAAAAACCACATCATGGAGCTTTGCAGAGTGAAACTACTTAATGCACTATAGTTTTCAGAATACATAACTACATCCTGGGACTTGACTTGCACTCGAAGCAAAGCGATATCTGGGGTTTTTGTAGGTGGCCGTGAGGCTATCTTTGCGGTCCAGGGAAGAAGCACTCGTAATGAGAAACTTCATGGATGGACTTGAGCTTGCGGTTGTGCATTTTGTTTCCCCTTGGGGCGCCGTTGACAACATCCGGCACACCACATCTTGGCACCATCATATGTTTCGCCGTGGTAGTGTCTAAGCTTCTTGTGACTTTTAAATGGTAGCTTTTCTGGTGTGACTTGATGGCGGACTCTAGAAGGTTATCAAAACTCATCATTGTTGGCGTGTTTTGAGTAATCAAAATATAAGCAAAGTAACCAAAATTCTTAAATTTTTTTGAAGGCTAGATTTTACAAAGCAATAAGAGGAAGCGTAAATTCTCAACCTAGTCAATTTTGAGATGGAGAATTTGAAGAAGAAAAAGAAGGCTGATTGCCCAGAATCAACAAAACCTTTATCTAGTTCTCAATTCAGTTGGAACCAAAAGCTTAATATCAATTCCACCAAATTAGGTAGATTAAATTGCGAACAATAATTTCATACCTTTGCGGAGAAAATTCTTACTGGAAAACACCGAATAGAGCCAAAAGCCCAAAAAAAAAAAAAAAACATTTTAAGTCTCAAGTTTCGACTCGCCCACACCAGGAAGAGAAAGAAGCCAAAGAAAACATGCAAGGAAACATCAATTTCCCCTTTGTTTTCCCTTTATTTATTTATTATTATTAAATAAATGGGAGTGCTGTTTTTGCCACGAATTTTTGCAAAATTGTAATTAGAGAATCCTCGTGCAAACAGTATAGAAGTAATCGGAAGAATCATGATCGATAGGTAAAAGACACGCAACCAAAACAACAAACAAACTGTGCTTTTACTTGTGTCAAAATTTACTCAAACAGGTTAGCTATAATTGGACCCTAAACTTGTTTGACTCTGATACCATATGTAAGATATATTCTGAAAAGTACAATGATGAGTCAATTTCATATTGTATATTTTACCTACTCTTAGTATGTTTTAGTAATTATTTTGGTAGAATTTTAATACTTTGATTTATATTTTCAATATAGGACATCCGACTTCCTCTGGAGCAAAACATGGTCAAATGGACGAATTTTGGAGTAATTATAGTTGGAGGACGTTCATGAGTCAGTTAGCTTGATCGTATCAAAATATCAGATTTTTCTACCTAGCGATGATTTTTTGGCAATAAAATAAAGGAGCAATGCGCGGTGCTGGAATAGTGACGTTTTGGGCTTGACTTGCATTTTTGGAGCCCAAGATGATCTCGGATGGGTTCGTGGCCTTATGGAGATGTGTTCAGAACGTCTCGATCTTCAAAACAAGCTATCATGGGCCGGATTTGGAGGATATCTGAGACTAAAACGTGGCTGGACAAGTAATTGGCAGATTCTCCTAGCTTAATTAGGACTTTATGTTCTAATATATTTTATTAATTGTCAGCTTCCTAGTGGAAATAAGAGAATTGGTTCTTAGGGATTTTGCCGCTGGCTTTTAGGGAGATATTTAAGGTTTTAGTCAGCACTAGTTTTAGGGCTACGCTTTCTTTTATGCTACTTTGTACACAGAGAGTAATTGCTAGAGTTCTTGGAGATTTTCTACTTTGAGGTGTTTTCATTCCTTTTATTCTTAATAATATTTTCTATGATTTCAATTATGAATATGCGTAACTAATTCCTTTTGCTAGGGTGAAGCCTTGAGCCTTAGCATGAATATGTAATTTTTATTTAATTGCTTATGATTGATTGCATGCCTACTTTGAATTATTAATCACCGTGATTAAAACTATCTAATTGTCTTAATGTCTGATCACCATTGGGATCTTTAGAAAAAGTAATTTGATGCAATTTTGGTCGGAAGGTTCCCTGAAATTTACGTTGGCTTCTGTGATTAATAATTGTAATTTCACTTAAGATGAACACCACGTCTTAGGGGTTACATGGTTTTTCAAAGAGTTTTCATAGAGCATAATTAATGAGTCTTTCATGTTTAGATTTGATCCGAACATCCGGACAGGTTGCATGTTAGATATATGTTCTATGTTGGAGGTTCCAAGTAGAATATAAATTAGGAAAACCTAACCTTCAAAGTGGCATGTGTAGATCATAAATAATTGGTAAAAGTTCATAGGATTGCAAGGTGATGGTGGAACCCTAGTGCTTTCTTATTTTGATTTCTCCAAAACTTTTCCTTTTCTTTCAGCTTTAATATTGCAGATTGTTTTATTTTTATTAATTAAATTCGTTTTTTAAATTAGGTCATAAAAAGCAATTATCTCAAATTTCTATTTTACAATAATTAGTTGGAATTTGGTTTGTTTTGAATTATTTAATAATCCATGTAATTCGTTTTATTAAATTAGGTCATAAAAAGCAATTATCTCAAATTTCTATTTTACAATAATTAGTTGGAATTCGGTTTGTTTTGATTTATTTAATAATCCATGTAGAGAACGACCTTGCAACATCCGTTTATACTACTATAACCTTGTTATTCTTGCAAGTATTATAGGAGTTTTTAGCCCGTTTGCATGTGTGTAAATTCCCTATCATACAACAACACATTCGGATAATGAATATAATGAATCGAATCAATATAAAATAGAGATGAACTTATCCATAGAATGTGAAAGATGTGGCTTGAATTTATCTGTAGAATGTGAAAGACGTAACTCTTGCAGGTGACAAATGAGTTTTCTACTCTTAGCAACCAAAAGTGTTCTCGACCAAGAGAATATGGTTTTGGTATTTTGTATGAGAATAATTGTTGTGAGAGCAGGGACATGCCTTTTATATTGACTAGAGTTTCTCCCCATCCTATTATAGGAAGGAGAGATTTACCAAATCATAGTCCAATCAACCAATGTCCCACCATAATAAGTCTTACTAAATAGCGATCACATAAAAGGCTAATCAGAGGTTAAAACTCTATTATTCTAACCATACCGGGCCATAAGATCACTTAGAAAATCAAGTCATCTAAATAATAAGTTACTCGAGAATCAAATGATATGATTGACAAGTCATTGATCCTCACAGTTATGTTTATAAAAGGAACCTAGCCCTCGATAGAACACTCGCATCCTTCCAAACACACCCACAACAAAATTTAGATAAAAGAAGTAGAGCGATCGAAAAAAACTATACAAGAAATAGCACAAGGACTTGAGGAACCTAGACCTCTCGAGGGGACAATGAAACCAAATCGCGCGAAAAGAATACATGAAATACCATAAAGACTTATAAGCACTTTTATTATAACATCTGCAACCAAAAATAAAAAAGGTTAAAAAATTTTACATCTTCATCAATGCAAAAATGTATATATCTTGTACCAAAAATCATTTATTTTCTTTATATATAGGGACTTGCAGTCACCTCACTCCATCTTCTTATCAATGTAGTAATAACAATCTATGATGTGCTTGCTACTGTAAACCATACAAAGTACGTATACCATCAATGTCATCCCTATTCAGATCACGTTTCACCATCCCATATTCAAAGTAGGGATACATGATTGCATCGGGGAGATCAGGATTGTGATTAAGCCCCAGAAGATGGCCTATTTCGTGTACAGCAACGGATTCCAAGTCTATCTCATTCGGCCCTGGATTGGCACTCCATGTCTCATCTGCATCAAAATGGAAGTTTCCACCTTTAGGCGGATTCGCATGCGCGTAAGTCCCTTTGAAGCCGTCAAATGAGGACCCATCTCCATGGTTGCCACGGTGGAAGCCAATGGTAATGTCAGCCGCTGAAGTAGAAGGAACTTCCTCAAATGTAAAAGTGGTCACTTGTGCCCATCTCTGAAATGCTTGTGCACATATAGACCTTACATTCTCTGTGCCGGGGACTTGCCTTGCACTCGAAGCAAAGCGATATCTCAGATGGGTTTGTGTAGATGGCCATCTTCGAGGTCCAGGGAAGAAGAACTCATAATGAGAAACTCCATGGATGGACTTGAGTTTGCGGTTGTGCTTTTTGCTTCCCTTTCGCGTGCCGTTGACAACATCTGGCACACCACATCTGGGCACCATCATTTGTTTTGCCGTGGTAGTGTCTAAGCTTCCGGTGACTTTTAAATGGTAGCTTTTCTGGTATGACTTGATGGCAGACTCTAGAAGGTCATCAAACTCGTCATCATCAGCATGTTTTGAGTGATCATAATTCAAGTAGCCGAATTTGGTGAGGTATTTTTTGAGCTCTTGCAACCCACTGACGTTTTGACCTTTGTGGCATCCCTCCAAGTATTGAATGAACTCGAAGGAGTCATGCTTATGATCATGGTGATCAGTAGGTTTTGCAAGAGTTTTTTGAGATAGCAACACAAAGATCAAGAGGGAAAAGACTACGCAAAACAAGCCGGCCGTTTTCGAGGCCATTTCCGGGATTTGGTAGCTAGATAGATAGAGAGATGAGTGAAGGGGTTTTATTGTGTTGGTCTTGAGTTCCTTTGCTTCTATTTATAGATGAGCATTGCAGCATATCAACAAAGTCTTACACGTTATAGGACTTGGAAATCTCGTTAATCGGAATTCAATAAATAATAAAATAAAAAAATTGAACAAACCATATTATCTACACAAGAGATTAAGGTGGGTTAAGCCACACAATGGACTAGTAATAATGTTATTTAAATTCGTCTTTTGCAAGAATTGAATTTAAAACCACTCACTTATAAGTGAAAAAAATATCACTAGACAGTAATACTAAGTGGGAATTGGAATTCAATGTTAGACTTGTATGAGTTCGGTCTCCTTTCACTTGTCAACGGTCTTTAGGCCAATACTTAATTAGTTTTGTTGACGGACTAAGTCATTCATCTCTATGGGCCAATGCTTAATTAGTTTTGTTGACGGACTGCGTCATTCATTTCTATTTGTAATATACTTTGACTGGTGCCTAGTCCAAGCGAAAAACACGGTTTCTTGTGCTGGATATTCTAAAAAGAGTAAGGGATTACAAATTTTCTGGATTGTTAGTGACGCCATTTTGTCAAATGGGTTAAATGTAAGCTTGTTTTATGTTTGGCATTCTTGCTACAAGTGTAATTGCATGAGTAATGTCCAAGTACCTTCCTCTTTCTTTTTCTTTTTTATTTTTGGTTTCTTGTGTGAACATGGTCGTTTTATGTTTGATATTCTTGCAACAAGTGTAATTGCATGAGTAATGTCCAAGTCCCTTCCTCTTTCTTTTTTTTTTTGGGTTTCTTGTGTGAACATAGTCGTCAATCTAGAGAAGGTTAAGCAATGAGTTTTTAGCTCAAGTGATTAATATGTTTCTCAATTAAGAAGTTCGAATATGTTTATATGCTGCACACGTTCACATGATTTATTAATTTACATGTCAATATGGATAGATGAAAGGGTTGTCGTTCACTTCATTGGCTAGGTGAGAAATCAAATCTCAACATTATTACAATAAAAACTTAATTACTGTAATGCCTCTGAAAGTGTTCGCATCTCCCCCTTTGTCAATGTATATTCTAAAAAATTAATATTTAGTTTCTTAATTCTAAGGCCATTTTGGTATCCCTATAAAAAATTTGATAATCCTCGTGAAATTTGAAAGGATGTTGCAACAATGCAGATGAAAGCAATGTGAAACCTACAAACATGCAAACAAGAAAGAAAGATAGGTTAGCTTTGAATTAGAGGATTACATTTTTCCAAATTAAAATAAAAATAATCAGGAGTAATTAATACTTTGAATAATTAATCAAGTATTACCCTGCTGCTGTTTGCAAAGATGGTGCATTAGATGGCTTCGGTGGCGGAGCTGCTGGCGGAGAAGGAGCAAACGCTCCTGCAAAAATGAAAATATAAAAGAATAAATAAATTTAAGATATTATTTAAGCAAGACAAGAGGATTATTAACTTAATTAATTAATAATGACTGAGAAATTAAGGTGACGGGGTACAATTAACAACAGTACTACTGACCACATAGAAGGAGGTTAGATGGAGGAGGCATTTCCTTGGCAGGGTTGGGATCAGCATCATACACCCTCACATAAAGCTCCTCCCCTAAATACCAATTTTTCAAGTGTTGTGACCTCAAATTCCACATTCCTGGGTTGTCAAGGTATGCATAAACTGCACTCCATCCGCCAGGGTACACTTGCACAGTAGATCGCACGACCGGATCATAAAGGTTGTAAGTAGAGCACGACTCAGGCTTCCATTTTCCAGCTCCAAAACTGAAATAAATTTCGAGACATGATATTGGCATGAAATATGAGAGTTTGATATGTTATATACTGTTGGATTTAATCAATGGCACTAATACTTGAGCGACAAGAAACGTTAAAAATGTTAGACTTGTACTTACCCAACAACAAAGAATCCAAATCCATCCAAGTGCCAAGCATCCATGTCCTCCAAATCATTCTGGAAAACAAGTTCTATCCACCCCTTATGGGTTCCCGTGGCAACAAAAACTCCACGTACGGATTCAACATTTGAAGAGTTGGTAGAAAATTTATCAAGATCGTAAATTCCCGACCCATTGAGAAACTGATCGGCCAACTTTAGTGGTGTGTCTGGGGCCAAGTAAGACACATTGTTGACGGTAAACTGAGGTAAACCAAAAATTTCTGCAGTGGATGAATGCAATATGAATGTCTGTGACAATGTCACATTATGTACATTGAAGGATCCTTGCGGATTAGGCCTTGCAGCCCCTGTGGTCAAGTTCAACCTTCACAAGACAAAAATGTTCAATCATTAAATGGCGAATATAATACAATAATCACAAGACAAGATGATCACTCTGAACGCTAACCCAAAATCAATTAGCAACGAATGAAGAAGTCTCCAGCATTACCTAATGGACTTAGCTTGATTGATGGAGAATTCTTGATCGAACGGGTTAGGACCAGTTGGAAGAGGCCCACTGGCAGGTGTGGTGGAGTTATCATAGTGCAGTACACCAATGCCAAATTTGCTCACATCTGTAGCTTTGAACAGTTTAGGACTTGCCACCATGTAATAGTCTGAAACAGTTTGGTCAGCTGTGACAAGCACAGAGTAGGACTGCCCAACATGAACATCAAGAGAGTCCAATGTAATTTTATTTGTATAGGATCCTTCTGTTTCAACCAAAACCATTTTGTGACTTTGAATCCTAAAATTGAAGCTCCATGTCGTCCCAACATTTGATATCCTAATTCTGTAAGTCTTCCCTGCATATGTATAATAGCATATTTAATCGTAAATATTTGCATATATAGAGTGATGCCATATCAACCACTATCGACATTTGTAAGTTAACGGTGCCAATAATATCAGCATATTCCAAATGCGATTAACCAAAATGTAGAAAAACTTGATAAATGTATTCTCATCATTGTACGTACCCTTTGCAACATTTAAAGACTCATGGCCTTCCGTAGGAGGTACCAAATATGCAGCTTTTCCATTCATCAAAATTTTATCTGGGGTGCTGTTGTAGGCCATGGACTTGGTGCTCATCAAGGACCTAACTTCCTGTTACATTATTAGAGCAACAAATTTACATATTTTGGTCACAGTTCACATTTGTCGATCGATAACATGTCGGTCGGTTGTGAATTACGTACCTTGTAGCTTCTTTCGTACCAGTCACCAATGAGAAGATCAAATTCTGCTTCTGGTTTGGGAAATGGTACTTGGATAACTGCACGATTATTGACGCGAATTGGACCAAAAGATCCTCCGGCTTTCTGGAATTTGAGTGAGGGGAAGTAGGAAAAAGTGCCAATTTGATCCTTGAACTGGAACATATAAGTCCAGTTGTTGCCAGGAAGAATAGGACAGTTTGTGCCTGATACTCCATCTTGCCAAGAGTTTAGTCTTTGTTGTATGCCATTCCTGCACCATTACAACCCTCAATCTTTAGGGCTCTAAATGTCAAATCAATATTTCCCTATATGCTAGTGATTTTGGCACTTTTTCTCTATCTGCACTTCAAATAACTTAATACTTGACACACAAAAAATTGCGTTGACAAATGGAGTGTGGGAACTAGACCTCTCTCAGCTTATCTTAGACTTAATTTCTTAGTCTTTCTTCTAGTTCTAAACTTGAAAGAGAGAATATTGATCAATAAATATGATTTTAAGGGGACTTAAATTTATTTTTTTTTTTTTTTTTTTGGAACACTAATTATGCATCAATTTAACACAATCCACTACAGATCATACAAACACACGATATTTGGCCATACCAAGTTATGAGCAGCGGTTCATCCATTTCATTAAACACATTGACATGAAACATATCATTGGTTGTGCCATTGATTAGTGGCCCCGGAAACTGCCCGTTGATGGCGATAACCTGAATTTACCAATTGTAAAAGATCTCAGGGAAAACAAAGAAGATAAAATAAAACAAATATAATAAAAATCAAGTTTTGAACACTTAATCTGTGATGTTGTTCATACCGGTTGGTCGACAGATGCCGGTTTGATACTTGTGTCAAGTGTGACGTGCCAGTCAAGAAATACATCCTCAGCAGAAACTGCTAGGGCAAAGAATATGAGAAGAGTTGCAGGAACACTTGGCCATGCCATTTCACATGGACTTCAATTTCTTCGAATCCTGCAAAGCCTGCACTAAACTACCCTCCTCCTCCTCCTCCTTGTGTATTCTCACGTAATTAAAGGCTAATGAGCTAGTAATTAATTATATAGTCCTTTAAATTAAAAGCATAGTGATCATAAACGCCTGCCAAAACAAACAAAATAAGATAGCTACGGCACTTCGATTAGGTGTAAACACAAAGAGCCAAGGAAAAAGATGACAAAAATTGTAGAGGCACATTTGAATTAAATGAGAACAAGATTTCCTTGTTGTTCTCAGCACGTTAGGAGGCCGTGTTGGAAAACTAGGAGTATATAATATTAACAAGTTTCCTAGATTACTAACAGATGTTAACATGATACCTGATGCAGCCATTGCCGAACAAGAAAAGGATATCTTCTACTCGTTGAAAGACTCAATGTTCTTAAGGTGATAGAACCCAATAACGCAGAACTTTTCTTTACGAGCAGGGAGTCCTTATATAGATTAACATTCACCAACTTCCCTCTATCATGGAGAGTTGGTTTTTGTCAGTTAACAGCAGTTTCATCAAATAAGTGGGATGGTAGTTATCTCCACAATTGATATCCATATTCCCTTAATAATAGGAAGCAGTTTTTTCCACGTTTACAACTTACGTCAAACTGTATTGTTACCAAATACATTTCGTTCTTCACTAAATGATAGTTCAGTCCAATTAAGTTTCTAACATTCTCCCACTTGGACGTAAACTAATCATTTCATCGAAATGTTATCACAATTACAATATTGACTCCTTAGTGATCACATCCAGTTACACGTAACTTGCTTCCCCACATCTACCAGTATTAGTTCAAATGTCGAACTCTAGAAAACCATGTGCAGCTCTCATTGGCACATGCACTCTAAAATCACTGTCATTTGAGTCTAATCTGTATGATGTCAAGCTTTCAATGAACTTCACATTCATTTTTCTATGAATCAATTCAATCAACTTTATGGATCATCTTTGGATAATCACAGTTCCTTTACTGAATTGAAAATCATATACCACTTTGTGTTATATAAGCTATATAACTCAGAATAATCATAAAGATTCAGCACATGCATATTTATTACTGCAACTCAGTCTTAAACCATCACTTCTTAATTGTAATGGCATACTGATAATCATGCAAATACATATAAATAAGCATTCAAACATGCAATTCGTAAAAGAGTTTCTTACTCCCACATTTCAGCAGATTCCAGAGATTCGTGCACACCCATCTTCATGACATGTTCTTTGAATACTCCCACTGCTAAGGGTTTTGTCAATGGATCAGCTATCATAGAATTTGTGTCAATATGCTCGATCACAACCTCACCCTTTCTCACATGTTCTTTGACTGACAAATATTTGATGTCCATCAGTCTTGTAGCTTCTGACTTCTTATTATTTTTAGAAAAGA